AGATTTAAAAAGGCCTTTTAGTTATTGCTTCAAAGTGGATATATTTGATAAGAAGATGATATGTTATTTTACTGAGTGTTTGTGTGAACACAGGAATAGAGTGGGATGTGTTTAGCACTCTCAGCATTTGATATCTGTAAATGTTTGATTCACACAGACACAACATGAGCTAACACCCACTGTAGTCCAGGGAGGAGTGGCTTTTACTGATTTCAGTGAACACTGGATCAGGCCTAAAATAAAATTCTCATAATTCAAGCAACAAATACTTTAGCTATCAACATATCAGAACTGAGCAAAATGAATTTTCATTAAAATTTGTTTATAATTCAGCTAAAATGTTTGTGAAATTGGATCAATATTCTGCTATTTTAAAACATTTGTCATGACATTTTGCGTATGTTTTAGGATGATTGCAAACATTTGGTAGCATATATTCACATTCATTATCTGAATTTCAGCTTGGATCGAATACTTTCATCCCTTTGTATTGCTGCTGGTTCCCTAATTGGCTGTAGATACCCCATGTGCTCAGTAGGGCTAGGAGTCCTAGGAGAACATGGTGAGGCTCTCAGATACTGTGGTGATGTCCACCATTAGGAACACCGGGATATAGACTGATTCATTTTTTCAGACAGAGCCATTGTGTTCTGTGTGCTCTCTCCAAGCCAGTCAGGAAGAACTGGTGATAGGACAAATCGGGAGTGCCTTTGTACTGCTTCCTACTGCTGCAGGTGTGATGAAACCTTCCCATTGTGCCCTTTGTCTTGAAGACTGTTGAGGAGTAGAAAGAATTGTGGCCAGTGGCCCTGCCTTGTGGCCTCATCCAGACACTGGATGGGAGCACAGGGTAAGATCATATCGAAGAAGGCAGAATTGGACAGCAGGCCACAGATCATACCTTGGAATGAGACAATATCGAGTAGGAGTGATTGTCACACCATAGTCTCTCTCCATGCAACTGGGCCCGTGACGAGCCCTGCAAAAGATACCAGTTGTCAATTGCCAGTCATTTTTTGGTGACCTGTCACTGGGAATTCCACCAAGACCACCAAACTCATTTCATGTTGACCATGAAGTAGCACCGAGATGCTCGCAATTGTCACTATACAGCAGGGCAGATTTGAATTTTGATCTATAAATGAAAATAATCCATGGGACATCACCAAACTTTGATCCATTTGATGTCCCTAGGGCTCAGAAGTGGCTCTGGTCTGTCACAGGAGCTGTGTGATGGAGGGGGATTTTGTGTGGGCAGAGGCATGGGACAGTCCAAACAGCCACATTTTAGCTCATCTGATTTTACCCATGAGTATATATTTAGCTTTATATTTAGCTTTGCTACCGTGATATTGGTTTTCAATCTGCTTGTACAAATAGTTCACCAGTGTTAATGCTGGATTTGATTTTTTTTTTTAACATTCAGTTCCACTTGTAGTGATATAAAGAGCTTAAGAATCCATAAGGCTGAGGGTACATTCTGGAATGCAGATAGGAAACAGGTTGGCTTATCTATTGCCACATGTTAACAACTAACATTAATCATTATGGCATATGCATCAAACTCGCTTCTCCTGCCCTGAATGCCCAAAATTCCGCTTGAAAGTAATCTGCCTCCTTAATTGGCTTCTCTGTTGAGACCTAAGGCAAAAAGTTCTTATAGAGGCAGGACAGACAGTAGGACCAGAGGAGAAGCTTGTTACTGTTAATGCCGCCAAGAAGGGGTTGGCAGTGATTTCCCTTGCTCCTACTAGTACTGCCAGTTAACGGATATTGGCTTAAAACGTCATAAAAGCAGGATGTTTCAATTTGTATTTAGCTTTGTTACCATGATGCTGGTTTTCAATCTGCTTGTCCATGTAGTTTGGCAGTGTTAATGTTGGGTGTGTCTCCTGCAGCTCACTGACAGGTCCCTCTTATCCAGTGTTCAAACCCAGTCCTTAATGGCCAGTAAAACCTAGTGAGAGCAGCCCCAAAGGAATGGGAGTCTGTTCTCATGGGAACCGCTGCTTGCTTCCATGCAGAAGTAAAATGGTTCTAAAAATGAAGGGCTAGATTCTGTGACCCTAAGCAAGCTGAGTCAGACCTGCGCAGGTTCTTAAAAAAAGTAAGAAAATTCCCAGACAAATACATTTAAAAACAGCTTTATAGTTTAAAAAAAATCACTCATCAGCTTATGTATACACATACACCTTATGTGCACAGCAGAACATTTGCAGTTAAGGATGCAGTAGCAGCTTGAAGTGCACCCCCATATTCACCCCCACTCTCCTATATAGGCCAAAGGCACTTCCCCCTTCTGCCTTTTTAATACAAGCTGTTGAGCCTTATTGTCCCTTACTCTGATATGTCGCTGAATCCTGTGAAACACCAAACCACTTCTGCATCTGGACCAGAAACCTGGCCCTTTGCCATTCCTTCACATTAAAGGCAGAGATTACATTTTGCATTTTAAATTTCTATACAAGAGCCAAATACAACATCTTCCCCATTTCACTGTAGGTTGGAGACTTTATGATGCACACAAGATTATCTATGTGGGGGTGTACACTATATATAGCTATAGTGTCCCTATGTACTCTGGCAGTATGTGTCATCTACCAGGCACCCCAAATATATGGTAGTTCAGCATACTCTACTCTGTTCAGCATACACAATGACAACTGGAGAGCTTCTGACAACTGGAAAATCTTCTAATACATCTGGTGGAGAAATAACCCCTTTGAATGCCACACTGACCTCATGGTAGTAATTTGTATTATATTTAAATCCAAAGTGTCAGACACCTGGCTCATGGAGCAGATGCATCCTACTTGATGAATTTATCCTGCTTCCATGACAGATTCATAATCTGCAGAATGAAAGCTTTCATTTAAATAAAGTAACTTTCTAGTTACTAAACAAATTTCCTTTTTGGTGAAAAGAAACCCATCCAAGTTTTGTGACCCAATTCAGCAGGCTTTCCTTTTTTGCCTTTCTGTCTCTCTCTGCATCTTTGAGAATTCCCCAGTTTTCAATCATGACTATAACTTACTTTGGTTTTTACCTGGGACAAAAGGACAAATTCTGCTCCTCATGCTGATTTTCTCTCTTTTTGTACAATCAGACACTCTAAGGACCAGAGTCTTTAACCTACTCCACTCCTGGTGCAGAAAGAGTGAAAACAGGCTCTTTCTTTTGAGTTGGGAATTCCCTTGGTATATGGGAGTCCGCAAGAGAAGAAAAGTCAGGATAGCTAGCTCCTTTACCTGCAGCCTTGTGTAGGAGGTATGTCAGGATGTGGAAAGGTGCAATCAGAGTGTATTGTTTTCTGACAGCCCTCAATAAATGGATGGTTCCTTGACAGCCACTCCCATTTAGCCAAGTTTAGAGCAGTCCTAAATTTGTTCTTTAAAGGTGTGTGTGTGTGTGTGTGTGTGTGTAAGTGAGTTAGAGAGAGAGAGAGAGAGATCTGGGGCTAGAACAGAAATAAAGAATCTTGAAGCCATAATTGGCGTTTCCACAATTAAGCCCAGCAGAAACTGGACAAAAAGAATCTGGGTTTAAAGGTGAAGACAGTTACTAACACAGATGCTGACTATTTTGTTGCAATAGGTGGAATTTCTCTTTTGTGTATATCAGACTGTGAAGAATGCTATAATGCAGAGTAACAAATAGCTCCTCAAACTCACTTACTGATGGGGCCATATAAATACTGAGATAGCTAGAAAGATGGCACAAAGCACTATTGCTGTATCTTTATTTGTATAAATCTTATTGATCGGGAGAAGAGCATATTGTGGATCTCAAGGGCAAAGACAAAGAAAGCTGGCTTTAAATAATTTAATATAGTCAACACATTTTTAAAAGTAATGGGGCCAAATTCACCGCTGGTCTACCTCCAATGACTTCAGTAGAATCACACCATTACTGTCACGTGTTATTTGTGTATTTGGCACTGTACAAGACACATCAAGTATGAATGTAAGCCAATAGGCCTGTATTCTAACGGTTTCAAACTCAGATGCCCAAAGTTAGACACCCACATGCACAATTAGCCACCTAAAAAGTACCCTGTCGCTACAATTGAAATCAATGCTTAGCGCTTCCGAATATTAAGTTGCTTATCTGCTTAAATATTTAGGTGCATGATTTAGGCACCCTAATTTGACAATGTTGGGTATAATTTTAATTGATTACAAATGTTCCTATTCTATGGCATGCACAGCAAGAAAAATGGCAATAACTTTTTCTGGAACAATTTGTAATTAGTCAGAAATTTCTCAGGAAACCCTTCCATAGCAAGTCATACTGCAGCGGGTCAGTATGTGCTGAGATGGACTCATTGCGGGGTATTGCTCTCTGTTCCTTCCTGGTTTTATGCCTCTTTAGTCAATGTGGAAAATGTAGCAGCTCAGGCTTATGAAAAAACATGGCTGCTTTCAATAAAAACCGGCTGCAGTCTGCAAGTCTGATACAATCTAATGCAGTCCTTTGCATTCCACTAATCCCAGCAGAAAACTCACAGCAAGCAGACTGGCCCCAATATACTCTTCACAGAGGGCTGCATATTGTATGTGTACAGATGGGTACATTCCAGGGTAAATGCATAAGTGGCCTAGTTTTATAGGGTAAACCAGTAAAGTATTTCTTTTCTTTTCCAGCAATAACCATCTTTTCCTATGTCTAGGATTTTTCTGAACACAGACAAAATAACAGCCCCCCAGTTTACACAAAGAACTTCCTTCCCCACATTAACCCTCACAATCCAAAGCCTCGCTATAGAAACATTTAAGTCCTTATTCAGTGACCTAAGTGCACTCTCACACAAGTTTCTTTAGATTTATTGGGTGATTTGGCAGCTCTGACTGGACAAAATATGTAAATAATTCTATGAGCCATTTGGCTAGAGATGTGCAAATGTTCCGAAACTCTGGAGAAGAGCCTATGTTCAGCAGCATAGATTTTAAATAGGTTTTAATATAAATTAATACAGAGTTTGTTCTTTTTTGTTTCTGCAGCCAAAACAACCCAATCCTGATTGGCGATACTCTGCATCTCTAAGAGCAGGAATACAAAGGTACGACTGTGCTTTCCCTTAAGAGCTTATATATTTCTCCCTTGTGAAGGAGACAGTCTTTCACTCTGGTACATCTGGTGACATAGGTCAATGGAGTTACTATAGAGAACTTTCTGGGTGTCTGGCTGGTGAGTCTTGCCCACATGCTCAGGGTTTAGCTGATCGCCATATTTGGGGTCGGGAAGGAATTTTCCTCCAGGGTAGATTGGCAGAGACCCTGGAGGTTTTTTGCCTTCCTCTGTAGCATGGGGCACAGATCACAGCTGGAGGATTCTCTGCATCCTGGGGCCTTCAACGTATTTGAAGGCTTCAATATCTGAGACATAGGTGAGAGGATTATTCTAAGAGGGGTGGGTGAGAGTCTCTGGCCTGCACTGTGCAGGGGGTCAGACTAGATGATCATAATGGTCCCTTCTGACCTTAAAGTCTATGAGTCTATGAGACATACACTAGTGAAGTGGTTTTCAAACGGCGGGTCATGGCCTAGTACTGGGTGGGGGAATGGCGGGGGCTGGCTCCTGCTGCAGCAGAGTGACTAGCA